AAAATAAGAAAGGGTGCGAGTACATTATGGACATCAGTAAAGAAATGTGGACAAATGCGTATGACGGGGAGTATCGCTATGGTCATATGAAAACAAACTTGGCTGAAGCAATAAATTCAACCTTAAAGGGGGCGCATCATTTACCAGTCATGACATTAGTCAAAATGACTTATTTTCGTTTGGGTCAACTCTTTGCAAAGCTCGGTGGACAAGCTCTTACTTGGATGCAAAACGGTCATATTTACCACCCAAGACTAGTAGCTGATTTACAGAAAAAAATGGCTGCATCAAATGGGATGTTAGTTACAATTTTTTCTCGCACCCGTGAATTGTTTTGTGTAACCGAAATGCCACATCCGTTACAAGGGATTGAAGCTAACTATTTCAGAGTTAATCTGCATGAGAGGTGGTGCGATTGTGGTTTCTTTCAAGCACTCAAATATCCATGCTCTCATGTCATTGCAGCTTGCTCACATTCGCATTTGGACTACAAAAATTATGTTGATCCCGTATACCAACTTTCACAAGTATTCAAGGTATATGAATTTGAGTTTCCGCCCATAGGAAACGAAAGAGACCCAGATGATATTCAAACTTGGCTTACAATTGTACCATATCTATTATTATTGAGGGACTCAGGTCGTCCAAAATCTACTAGAATACATTATGATATGGATATTCAGGAGAAGTAAACAGAACAAAAACGATGTGGGCATTGTAGAAACATCGAACACAATAGAAAAAAATGTTCAGCTCTATTATCATCACATAATCGTTAACACTTATGTAACCTAATATTCTATTTAAACGAATGTTTTTGTTTCTAATATTTAAATGTAATTGCATTTTCTATAATTTCTCAATGTATAATAATAATAACATATTAAATGTGTAATTATACTAATTTTATTAACTTATGCATCAATATTTTGGTTAAATAATAATAACAGATGACTAGATTGATAATATTTAAATAATTAAGTGATAAAATTAATAGATCGATAATCAAAATAAAAAAATAATAATATAACCATACGTGTAATATAATAATTTTATACATTTTTCATATAACTACAATAAAATAAAAACTAGTTTTCATCTGTTGTTCTATCCGATTAATGTGGATAATACACTTCACCTTTAACACATATTAAAAAAATACATTCGATAATTATTAAATTATAACTGAAACAATTTACATAATATATTACTAATTTATAATAACAATAAAAATAAAATTTTTATTATTAAAAAAAATACCGCGTGGCAACTGAATCAGTAAAATAAAGATAAAGCGCATCCCTAGAAATGCGCCTTTCACACGTGGCATCCAACTCAACGTAAAATCAGGTAAAGCGCGTCTCCGGATATTCGTCTTTCGTCACCTCAGTCGAAAGGATGTCACTTCAAAAAATATAAAATAAACGATGTTAAAAAAAATATTCAATTAAATAATGTGATCAAATAGCATGATCTTATCCGTGCATCTCATTCAGGCATGAGTATCTTCAAATCTGCCACATTTTGCATAAATGTCATTTCAACTAATGAATTGCCGACCACAAGTTGTGAATCAGCTTTAGTCAAAATAGCTGGGGAATGAATTTGCAGGTCTATTGCTTTAGCTGCTATACTCAGCATGGCTGCAAATTGGAAAGTTTTACAGTGTGACAATAAAAAAAAATATGTTATCAGTTTTATTATTATTTAATTAATAAAATTGATAAAAATTATTTAAAATATTATTATTTTTTATTTAAAATATTATTTTTTAATATTTTTAGTAAAGTGATCAATAATAATAAAATTTGTAGAAAAAATAATAAAATCGATAACGTTTTACCGATTTTGTTAACAAAATTAGTAAAACGTCTAATAACAATAAAATCGATAAAAATAATAATATTTTTAATAATTTTTTACTGATTTTATTATTTAAATAATAAAAAAATCGATAATATTTTTTAACCCCAAGCCACGCATAGCAGGTGATGATTATATTCTAAGAAATGCCATCCAAGACAAGATAGTATGTCTAATTATTTTTCTTCTAAATTAAATGAATCGGAATTGAATGAATAAGGTTTTGATAGGCATTTTTATAAAAAAAAATCACAAAAAATCATTTATTAAGAAAATGGTATACATGAGGAATTATTTGGAAATGTCCTAAATTATTCACGTAATACTACCTCACGTCTTGTAAAACGTATTAAAGGATATTGCATTTTATAGGAATCGAGACCCGTTCAATTTGGAAACACTTTTCATATAATACAATTTAATATTTGGATAAATGACATCGTGTTTTGCAAAATGTGAAGTCTACGAGAAATTGAATCGCCTAACAAATTTATTGCGGGTTGTATTTTGAACCTCGCGTCCTACAAAATGCCAGATTTATGCATTTTCAACCTACATTTACCTCTTTGATAATTCAAATCTACTAGTAAACATCAATAAACACTCTTATCTTAACATATCATTTCAAAACCCATTTTCTTAAATCTCCAATATTTCCTCTATCTCATAGTTTTAATCTTATATAACATTTCTTTAAGCTCACATATCACTTAAGTTTGCAAGAACCAACCAGAATCGAAAGGAAACACTAACCAAATAAAACTTTACATTTGCTATGGAAGAGAGCTTTTTCCACGGGAAAGAAGAAGAAAATAGAGATGGCTTTTTGGTAACCTATTTTCCCCTTTCCCCTTTACTTTAATAACTTATTAAAATGAATTTTAAATTCATTTTCCCCTTAAAGGACCAAAATGCCCTCTTAATCATCCATAGTTACAATTTAGTCTAACCACTAATCCAAATCATTACTCATCTTTTATCATTTAATCAAATAAATCCTCAAATTTTAAATCTTTTCAATAAAGTCCCTAATTCGATATTTGGGGCATTACATTCTAAACCTCAAAATCCAAAATACTTCAATTACATGCCTAATCCCAAATTTATAATCCATTCTCAAAATCTGCCATAACAAATTGAACTTGAAGCAGTAAACCTAAACCCTCAAAACATAAATGTTTCAAAAAAAAATTAACCAAATATAAGTGAATAATAAGTGATTATGTTGGGTTTAGGGTTATATTGGACCTAAAAACTTATTTCAGTTTATAAAATAATTGACTCGAAATTTTTTCGATTTGAGTTTATAAAATTTAAATCAAGTCGAATTGAATTGAATTTTCGAGTTTCTGTTTAAATTTAATTATACATATTTATTATATTATAATATTATTTGATTTTAATTTAGTTCAGTTTATAAAATAGTTTACTCGAAAATTTTTCGATTTGAGTTTATAAAATTTAAATCAAGTCGAATTGAATCGAATTTTTGAGTTTCTGTTTAAATTTAATTATATATTTATAATACTATAATATTGTTTGATTCTAATTTAAATAGTTTTTTAACCGTATACAATGCATATATTTCGTCATATTTTTTCCATATGTGATATACAATATCATACAGAGTCAAGGGACTTGACTCAAACTTAAAAATTAATCCACTAATTACTAAAAAATTTGAGATATTCGAGTTGTATTTTACAACTCGATTTTAACTTGAAATTTTTTTAAGTTGAGTTTATGAAATTACAACTCAAAGTCAATTTATATCAAATTTTTTTAATCAATTCAAGTCGAAAAATAAGTTTTTCAAATCGAATTGAGTATTTTTCACTTATAGTTGGTTAAATCGAACTTTTAAATCCTAAACCCAACATAATCACTTATTGTTATGGACCCAAAATGAACTAAATGTTGTTGATTATGTGGGGTTAATTGGTGGGGAAATTTAACATTTAGGGTTATGTTTTGAGAGTTTAGGGTTGTTGCTTCAAGTTCATTTTGTTATGGAAGATTTTGAGAATGGATTATGAATTTGGGGTTGGGCATGTAATTGAAGTATTTTTGGAATTTGAGGTTTAGAATGTAATTAAAGCATTTTGAAATTGGGGGTTTAGAATATAATTGATGAATGTGTTGCAAGTTTTAAAAGTTAGGGGGACCTAAATGCAAGCGCCTGAAAAGTCTCCATTTATATAATTTACCCTAATGACAGTGAAACGGTCGTTACTTCGGGAACCATATTGCAAACGAACTAAATGTTTGGTGATTGTACTGCAAGTTTTAAAAGTTAGGGACCTAAATGCAAGCATCTGAAAAGTTCAGTGACCATTTATATACTTTACCCTAAAATTTCCTATAAATAAAATTCATAAATTGTTGTTGCACGAAATTTTCTATAAGTATTGTATTTTTATAGGTGTAGTTTATTCTTTTATCTTGTTTTGATTCCGTATTACTTATTTTTTTTCATTTTCAAATTATCAAAGCTATATTTATTGTATACGTTTTTAAGATATAATAATAATAATAATAATAATAATAATAATAATAATAATAATAATAATAATAATAATAATAATAATAATAATAATAATGTTTTAGTACAGACATATATCTATAAATAGAACAAATATAAAAATTCAGTTGGAAAGTCACACAAAAATATACTAAAATAATTTTTGTTTCATTCCTACTACATCTTTTAATATTCATAGATTATACTATATAAATTATTATATTTTTTACTAAAATTCTGAAATTCATTCTTTTATAATTTTTCAATTATCAATATTTATTTAGTCTGATAAAAAGTTTACATTTTATCATTAAACTTAAAGTTTCCTAATTTAGTTCAAAGGTTTAAAAACAAATGTGTTTGAACAACTAAATTTTAAATAATTTTTTATAATTCTTGTATTTCTGAATATATATATTAATTTAGTATTTAATTTATTGGTATTAGATATTTATTAGATATCAATTATTAGTGTACACGTTGAATTGAGAAGAAGAGGAGAGGAGAGGAGGAGAGAGAAGGCAACGGCACATAACAAAGTGATATTAATACCAGGGCTACAGAATATAGATGGACAATCCTTTTCCCAACCTTCAAATGCGATTTGTGGAGGCACTGGGCAGGTAAAGGACTCATTCCAGTTTAATTCAGTTCCACGAAAATGTGAACCTCCTCTTGTTTAATCAAGGGGATAGGTGATCACACCATAATTACACATACGCTTTACAAAATATAAAAATACGTCAACACCATAGCACAGTTTTCATGTTTTCATTTCTCCCCAACACCAAACAATAACTCTCACTTTTTTCTTATTTGTTATTATTGTTTTAGTTCAACCGTTGAACGACGGATCCGTTAGTGACTTGCATGGGCGGTGGGGAGACTATGTAGCACAATAGTTTCGACGGTGAGACCTGGTCCGAATCCGAAAAGAACACCCCATTCCAACCCTTCACCGGTGCTGGCCTTCCCTTCTTCGATCGATTTCTTTCTCATCTCGTTTAAGATGAACAACACACATGCACTCGACATGTTGCCGAACTCACTCAGCACATGGCGTGTCGCTCGGAGTTTCTCTTCTTTAAGACCCAATTTGGCTTCCACTTGATCGAGTATCGCTGGGCCACCGGGATGAGCGATCCAGAAGATTGAGTTCCAGTCGTTAATGCCAATTGGGGAGAAGGCTTCTACTAAGCTTTTCTCTATGTTCTTCGAAATCAAGCCGGGTACGTCTTTCAGCAAATGGAAAGTGAGTCCCACCTCACGCAAGTGTCCGTCGATGGCTCCCTCCGAGTCCGGCAAGATCGTCTGAGCAGCCGATACAAGCTGAAAAATAGGGCGTTCGATTTTAGTATCAGGGTCGGCACCTATGATGACAGCTGCAGCGCCATCACCGAAAAGTGCTTGACCCACTAGGGAATCCAAGTGCGTGTCAGAGGGTCCACGGAAAGTGACAGCCGTGATCTCGGAACAGATCACGAGAACACGAGCCCCCTTGTTGTTTTCCGCCAAGTCCTTGGCGAGACGGAGCACGGTTCCGCCAGCAAAGCAGCCTTGTTGATACATCATGTACCTCTTCACCGAGGGTCTCAGTCCGAGCAACTTGGTGAGTTGGTAGTCTGCACCGGGCATGTCTACGCCGGAAGTAGTGCAGAAAACAAGGTGGGTGATCTTGGATTTCGGCTGACCCCATTCTTTGATGGCCTTTGTCGCGGCTTCTTTCCCCAGCTTCGGCACCTCCACCACCACTATGTCTTGGCGTGCGTCAAGAGAAGGAGCCATGTACGCACACATGTTTGGATTCTCCTTCAATATTTCCTCAGTCAGATACATATATCGTTTCTTGATCATCGATTTGTCGCCTGTTGAGACAACATAAATTCAATAACAGATATGTGTAGTACAGTTCAATGCATATGGTATATTAGTACGTACACATGCGCTTAAATTTTTCTTTGAGGTCTGTCATGTGTTCGCTGTTGGTGATACGGAAGTAGTAGTCCGGGTAGTCGGCCTGAGAAACACAATTGGAAGGAGTGGCGGTGCCGATGGCGAGGATGGTTGCCGGACCCTCGGCTCTTTGTGCCTTTCTAATATCCTGCACGTTAGTATTTGCCATCGGTTCCGCCAGAGATATTACAGGATATTAAGAAGATAGGTCTACGAAATATCTCTGACAAACAAAAGGCAAATGCAGGAAAAGGAGAACAAGATCTAGATGGAAGGGTAGGTTTACTGGGCCATGTAACTGGGGTACTTATACGAGAAAAACGGCGCTGGGTAGGTTTGATGGACGGCCAGCTAGAGGCCACGTGGCTGTGGGATGGTCTGCTTAAAATTTGGTAGTTGTGAAGCCACATCTTCATTTTTGTCCAACAAACACGCATCTTCACTACATTTATTCTCGTTAGTATTTAATTATTTATACTTTCCTCATTATTTGTGGACATTGATGGTAAATAAAAGAGAAAAAAGAGATTATTATTAGTTGATTTGTTAATCATTCCCGTTTTAATTATAGAGGCAAGAATAAATCAAACTTGCATATAATTTATGAATCTCAAACTCAATAAAAGTTTTAAAATGTTAATGTTAATGTTAAAGGACATTTGACCATTTGATTTGGTTTGAGTGGGTGTAAGCTAAAACAATAGTATCCCTAAGCAGATGTGTTAGGTTTAATGGTCGGTGTTGATTGTGGCCAGGTGGAGCAGGTTGTTAAAATTAGGGTACTCGTATTTTAAGATACTCGAAATGTCGGGTACCAAGAAATTTCGAGTCACAAAAAAATTGGCTCATGACTCGTCCCGTAAGTAGGATTGTTCATGGACGATTAATTATATCGTTTAGTTTAAACGGTGGGTTAATCGTTATAACAGTTATGAGATTTTTTAAACGTAATCTATTCATTAAGAAATAATTAACCGCTAATGGTTAATCGTTATTAACGATTCGGATACAAGTTAACCTACGATTAACCTATTACAATTATTTATCAATTTTTTTCATAATTCATATTACAAAAAAAAATGTAGCACTTAACACATACTTACATTGGTATAAGTAAATAAAATAAACAAGTGTAGTGTTTAACACATACTTTCACTGGTATAAGTGAATAAAACAAAAAATTGTACCATTTAACACATACTACATCGGTGTAAGTGAATAAAATAAAAAAGTGTAACACTTAACACATACTTACATCGATGTAAATATGTACATATCTCAATATCTTAGCAGCTAACAATAAACATATAATTATATTGATGTAGGTATGTTTATATATTTTCAAAGAAATAAAAAATAAAAAATAATAAAAATATATATTAAGTTATTTTTATGCAAATTTTATTAAATATATATATAAATTATAAATAATATAAACTTATATTAAGTTATTTATGTAAAATATAATAAATTAGAAATATAATTATAAATTTAATTTATTAACGGTTAATCAACGGTTAGCCGTTTATCAAAATTCGTAATCGTAACCTTAACTGTTAACCATAATTTTTAGCGGTTCGGTTAACCGAAACCATTTCGTATTAACTGTATGATTAATTAACTTGTTAAATATTACGGTTACACCGATTAACAGTTACGGTTAATGATTTTAGATTTTTTTTAACACCCCTAGTCGTAAGAGTTGAGTATCCGTAAGTCGGATACCCATAAAATTCGAGTACCCATATTTTCGGGTCACAGCTACCCGATTAATATTTTTTTATTACTTTATATTATTTTTTAGAAAAATCCACATAAAAAACATAAAATTTAAAACTCAAAAGTTTATATAAAAGTAGTACATAACATAAACATAAAATTTATAAATTTAAATTATAGATAAAAAATTTAAGAAATAATTTAAATGTTAAGGTTAAAAAAATAGATATTTAAAATGTTAGGGTAAAATAATTTTGAAATTAGAAATCAAAAATCTAATTTAAAATAAAAATAGTAATAAAATAAAAAAAAAAGTGGAATAAGATCGACAGGTACCCAGTTAATGGTAATTTTATGACCCGACCTCGACCCGAAAACCTGTCAAAAATAATGAGTTGGGTACCCGACTCGTAAAATCGAGTATTTACCTCTAAAATACCCGATAATTTTATACGAGATCGACAGGTTGGAGAGTTCGGGTCGGGTATTTTTGAAAACCCCTAATGTGGAGCGATGTTTCTTGTTGTTGTGGTTTTTTCTTAGCGCATACCAGTTGTTGAATGATGATTGTAGACATTGGCGGATTTATAAATATTTTTTAGGATGGATATATATATATATATATATATATATATATATATATATTTATAATATTAAAAATTTATATGTAATAGAGAGAAATAAAACTTTAGTATGGACACGATTAATAAAATAAATAACTAATAAAAAAAATATTGAATTTTTAGATATATACGTACTAATACTGAATTAATGATGAATCTGCAATCGACTGCGGAGTGATGCGTCTTGATCTTCTAGTGTTTTTCTTGAAGACCTATTTCGAACAATTAGAACTCAACTCAGTATTAAATAACGGGTAAACCAAATTCATTTTTATGTGCCTTGTTTTTAATGAAAACATGATCGATAAAATACGTCTTTATTTTATATGATATGTTCATTCAACAACAAAAATTAATTAATTAGTTAAAATAAAAAGTGCATCAATTCATCCGTTTTTGAGTGAAAAGCGTAATTGATAGAATATGTTTTTGTTTTATATGATATGGTCGCTCAACCAAAAAAAAACGGAAATAAAAAGCGCATCAACTCATTCATGTATTTGTTGGGTTTTAATGAAAAATAAAAATACATTTTTACTCACAATTTTCTCGAGTTCGAAAATTGAAATTGAAAAGTACAGTAGGTGGCCAAGCCTCTGCTATATTTTTTTTAGGTCAGATTTTTCTCTATAATAAGTATTAAGAAATTCTTCGTCCATATTTGAAAATTATGATTGTCTAACAGATTCAGTAAGAACTTGACTGTTGTATATTCTTTTCGAAGAAAATAAAATAAGTTTGACGTTGTTGGAGTATGAGAGCTAGTAGCTAGTTGGTTATCAGGAGGTTCAGGTTGTTATCAGGGTTCTTATGCCAGATGTGACTTGGTGCTTGTTAGCTTGTGTAGTTCAAGTTAGCTTGTATAATTGTATGCGCTGTGTGTGTATAAATAACGCATTTTCTTTCATTGTAAGCAATGAGTTTTGTGATTCATTCAATAAAATAGAGATGACATTTTTCTGTATGTTCAACATGGTGTCTTCACTTTGATCATGTGGATTTGTGTTGATGGTATCACCTGCTCAGAGATCCTTTCTCGTTGCGTTCTTTTGCTCTTATCAAGATGTCGTCTCATGAGACTTCCTCTGATGATGGTTCCAAAACTGGATCTAGGAACTCGTCCTTCAAAGTGGATAAAGTTTTCACAAACAAGAGGATTAGCATTGTTCTTGATGAACTCAATTTTCTCCTATGGAAGCAGTAGGTCTTGTTAGACGTGAGGAGACATCCTCTTGAGAAACTTCTTATTGGAGATGTTCGCCCCCCCCGGTCTCCTACAATCACTCTTTGTCCACTTTAATGCCCTTATGAGATATCTTATGGCCTAGCACAATGCTTTCGGTCACCATGAAGTGAAACTTTTCCAAATTCAACACGAGGTCGGCCTCCTCACATCGCATGAGTACCTTTGCCAAATTATCGAGGTATTTCTCAAAGTCATCTCCAGAAACTGAGAAGTCACCCATAAAGATTTCTAGGAAGTCCTCAACCATGTCAGAAAAGATAGCTTGCATGCATCGTTGAAAAGTTGTTGGGGCATTACATATTCCAAAAGGCATCCTCCGGAAAGCATAAGTGTCATAAGGACATGTGAATGTAGTCTTCTCCTGGTCCTCTGATGCGATGACAATTTGATTGTACCCAGAATATCTGTCCAAGAAGCAGTAAAATGCCTTGCCTACCAATCGATCCAGCATTTGATCGATGAAGGGCAAAGGGAAGTGGTCATTCTTGGTAGCCTTGTTTAGTTTGCGGTAGTCCATGCATATCCGCCATTCGGTGACAGTGTGTGTTAGTAACAACTCATTGTCCCCACTAGTCACTACGGTCACGTTTCCCTTCTTTGGCACACATTAGACGGGACTCCCCATAAACTATTAGATATGGGGTAAGTCACTCCAACATCAAGTCATTTGAGGATTTCTTTCATCACCACTTTCTTCATGATTGAGTTTATTCTTCTTTGTGGCTCTATGGATTTGGCATGGCATTCTTCCAACAAGATCTTGTGCATGCATATAGTGGGACTTATCTTATTTATATCTGCCATTGTCCATCCTAACACTTTTTTGTGATGTGACAAAACACTTAACAAACTACATTATTAGTTAGGAGTAAGGGAAGAGGAAATAATAACAAGTAAAGTTTCATTACTACCCAGGTAAACATATTTAAGATGTTGTGGCAAATTCTTTAACTTTATGATAGGTGCATACTATAATGAGCGCTTAGGAGGAACAACTCATCGAAATCAAGAGGTTCAAAGCGTGTACCTGGGCTAGCTATGAGAAAGCTAGCCTGCTGCACCTCCATAGAAAAGTCATTGAGCTCATTGGCACTTTCTTCTTCAATAAGCCGCTCATAATTTTCTAGCTGAAGGAAATTGTCATGGAAAAATTGATCAGCTTCTCCTGTTATCAATAAATCCACTTCGAAAATGATATGACATTCTTCAGTCTAGTCCATGTACTTGAGAGTATAGAAAACATTAAAAGTTACACATTGACCGGCTACTCTTATGGTGAGCTCACCCTTCTCACAGTCGATAAGAATACGCCCAATAGCTAGGAAGGGTCTCCCCAAGATTATGGGTATCGTGCATCAACCTCATAATCAAGTATAAGGAAATCTATTGGAAACACAAATTTATCCACCTTTACAATGACATCCTCGACTCGCCCCTCGGGACGAATATGAGAGCGGTCGGCTAGTTGCAAGATAACAGAGGTGGGTCTTGCATTTCCTATTCCAAGCTTCACGAAGATTGACTTAGGCATTAAGTTCACGCTTGAGCTAAGGTCACATAGTGCCTTCCGAACATAATTTTCTCCTATCGAACATGGAATGATAAAGTTATCTAGATCTTGTCACTTTGGCGGCAGTTTGCTTAAGGCAGAGCAAAATGATTTTTCTGTAGCAATAATCTC